CTGTATATAATAATTGCCTCTAAAGCGACTAGAAAATCTGACAAAATTAAAGTTTTCGGTTCATTGCACCCCCTGAATGAAATCTCAACTTCACCGAAAACTATAAGCGTCGTCCTTGACCATAATCGGAACATCATGTACAATTTCAAAGCGATCAGCGAGACATTTCCGTCCTCTAATGGAGTAATAGTAATAATATGCACATAGTCACCTTTACTTAATTACGTATAACTCCCGCATCGGAGTACATACAGCCATATAATTGGTATCAATTTGAAGGTCAACAACTCATCTTGGACATACTATCAACATCTCGAATATATGTCCTTCAGGAGCAAGTATATACGTCCCAGAATAAAAATTTTGTAATTTTTCACACAAAAGTCAGGGTCCATTTGACCCGCTAAATATTGACCGATCTTTATCAAAACAGGTATGCTTATTCTTAGCCCCGATCCCCTTCTCCATGTAAAATTTCACGATGTTCGCGCCGTAATTGCGGCCTCTGGAGCGACCAGAAAAACCGACAAAAAATTAGTATTTGGTCCATTTCATCCCCTAAATATTAACCGATCTTTATCAAAAACAATAGGGGTCTTCATTGGCCAGAACCCATCCTACATGCAAAATTTCGTGAAGATTGGTCCATAACTGTGGCCTGTATCGTGTTTACAAATTATAATGGACAGACGGACGGACGGACGGACGGACACACATGTCTAGATCGACTCAGCTAGTCGAGATATGACGATCGGTATACTTAAAGGTGGGTCTAGGACCAATATTTCGCGGCGTTACAAACTTTTGGGGCTGCACAAAGCTATAATACCCTGACAACATAGTTGTGTAGGGTATAAAAATGGAGCAACAAAAATGTATACTAACGCATCAATTGAGAACGGCTGGACCGATTTGACTCAAAATTTCTTTCAGTTGTCGGTAATTACAGTGGGAAGGTTTTTATGAAAGAAAATTGCAAAAAATTATTTTAAAGAAACGGCTGGACCGATTTGACTTAAAGTTTCTATTAGTAGTCTGTAATTGAAGTGGAAAGGTTTTGAAAGAATATTTTGAGAAAAATTCGCGAAAATGTTGCAAAATATATTTTGAAAGACATTAGCATTTCCACACATTTTATATCGAACCTTTATGGTTCGTAGTTCTTTTTGGACATATTTTGGCGAAAATGGGCAGCGTATATCTTTATGTAACTGTCAATTATGGACAATTCTCAAAATATGTTAATTTTCTACAATTAATTGGATTGTCTTTGCCTTTAAAAAAACTATATACATATATATAAAATAGAAAAAAATTGTTTGTATGTTACCGATAGAGGCACAAATCGCTGAACAGATATTAATGAGATTTATACATGCCCTGAAAGTAACATAGGCTAGATAAACTTTAAAATTCCGCGTGGATGAAGAGTTATATCATCAATAGTGAACATACCTCAAAATTTCTTAACATGTAATATGGGTATATCTTAAGAACGGTTACAGATACCGTCTTCAAAATCTGTCTGAATGACGTAGGGGTATATACACATTGTACATTCAAAAATGAGCGCATTACGATTGGAGATATATGCACTCCCCGTTATACTTAAATAACCTTAATATAGAGAATAAAAAGTTTTGTTTGAAGAGTCAAAACCCGCTAAACAGATTTTACTGAGATTTTTACAGTACTTCATGATATCGGATAGAAGTAAAATAGGCTAGATAAAATTCTAAAATTCAGCGTGGATGCGGACTTATAGCATCAAAAGTAATCACACATATTAAATAATATGCCTATTCTATTCTTATATAATGTACTCCTCGCTGAATAGACTGCACAGAAAATTTCGCAGTCAGTCATGCCATCGCATTTCGATAGCATCAACAGTTTCCATACCTCATTTTCTATGCATATATGAATATCTTGAATAAATCGGCTCATAAAAATGTGTTTTATACTCAGTTAATTACAGATCCAAGCTTAAACGACCAGGAAGTAAAAAATTGGTTCAAATCAAGAACTTTCGACTCATAATTTTTGGTCCTATTATGACATTATCAGTAATAATAATAACCATCAGTTTAATAATTCCACTAACGTATGCTGTTTTTCATCTTTCCATTATCATCACATATTGGAACAAAAATTGTGTAAAATGAAAAAATAATTGACATTATAATTTTTACATTTTGTCAGTTTGTGAAAAAAAAACATTTAAATTTTGAAACTTTTTTGAATTTTAATAATTCTACCATTATTGGAGAAAATGACTATGAATTCAATAAAAGTATGCATCAGCTATATACGAGATAATTCTAAAATCGAAATGCGGATTGTGGATTTAAAGATGACATGATTCCTAGATGACATGAAAACAAAATGTGTCCATTTCTAGAAATTAAGTTTAGCTGACCAAATGGATATGGCTAAAACTATTATTTCGAGGATGTATAGATGAAACGACTAACTTATTTGATCTAGGTTTCTTAAAAATACTAATACATCTACAGCTAAGACCAATAATCCATTTAGGTTCGGTAATGCATTCTTTTAAAAGCCATTTTAGGCAATAAGACAAAGATACAAAATTCAAACTTAACTAGGATTAACAGCAGGGATCTATGCTATATTATTCAGAGAGAGGCATGCCAACCACATGGGAAACAGCTGAGAATACAGATACAGATGGGTCTACTATAATACCTACCTTTTCAAACCCATGTTGCAGTAAGTTTGGAAGAAGGGTCAAATACCATCAAATAGTAGCTTTTAAACTAAATAACAAAGTTTTCTACGTGAACTATCCTATTTCAATCACTTTAGCAGGGGCTGCGAAGCGCCACGGGTTCGGCTAGTTTTTTTATAATTTTGGTTTCATCCCAACAAATTTTCGCGTTTTTCGATTTCATATTGACGCATTGAAATTTGCCTATGTTTCACGCGATGAATTTGATTTTCTAATGTTAAAAAAGAACATCACATTTGTAAACAAGTAAAATAATCGTATCCAGCTTGTGTCGTGCATTCAAAATTTATGTTAGAATTTTCTGAAAAGAAGTTTTCTATTCACCGGGAATCCCGAATGACAAGTTATAACCACTTAAGAGTACCGAACAGGACCAAAATAGAAAAATTCCGGCAAACATATATTTGTATACCATTCACCACACTGTGGTACAGAGTATTATGTCTTTGTGCATATGTTTGTAAGAGGCAAAAGGAAACGAGATAGACACATGGTTCCTTTTGAGAATATGCATAGAATCATAATAAGTCGATTTATGCATGTCCGTCCGTCTGTCCATTTTAAATTGTAAACAAAGTACAAGTGGCATTTTTGATTCGAATTGAATTAAATTTGAATTAAATTGAATTAAATTTAATTGGGAAAAATCGATTCAGATTTAGAGCTCCCAAATATACATATATATTCACCCGATTTTGCATAAATGGTGCACCGAACTCCTAATATTTGTGTGATTTTTTGCACAGCGTATCAAATTGAACGACGTTATTGCGTTTTGCTGAAATTGGTATAGATGAAGCCATAGCTTCCATATGTATTTCGAACGGGTGTCTGATTGAAATTGATTGATAATTGTCTTCACATATGTACTCGTATGCTAACGTCCAAAGTCCGGCAATGTGAAATTAAAGTTACTTTGGGCCTGCCGTTAACCAGCTACCCCTAAGTATGTACCTATATTAATAATTTCTGATAAGGAGATTTTTTACTCAATTTAAAATATCAAATTAAAGCCAATGCGGTTGTAAAACGTGTTTATGAGGGCTTCGCTTAAAAGTGGACCAATTTTGATCATATTTAGTAAGAAAACTTTCTACCCAGGGAGAATCCGAAATACAAAACCGCAAATTAGGTTGAAAAATGTGCCCAAACCCTTCAAAAAATCAAATATTGGGGTATGGTGTACCCAAAAAGGACCGATATATTTATTTTCCAATACCAAATATCCTAGGAATAGTGCAATATATGGGTGAAATTCCATATCTCTGTTTTCAATATTACGACCTCAATCGGACGGACATGACTAAATCGACAAAGAGTAGTCTTTAAGATTAAATGGGGTCTCTGATGAATATTTCATTATTACATATTAACAATTTTGTTCTTTTAATTTCTTAGCACTTTTTTCTGGCACTTTTTTTAAATTTCTAGCATTTTTTTCAAAAAAATCTAGCATTTTTTCTGAACATAGTTTTGGCAACACTGTATATTACACACAACATTACATATATTGTCGCATTTTCTAATTCCTTTCTTTCACAATACAATTTTCACAAAGACAAATTTTGAATCAAACTTATAAAAATGAATTAAAACGGTACATATCGCATATCATTCTTTATTCTGATTACACAACCGAGATGCATCATAAACTCCGCCGAAATGGTACGCATCTTAAAAGGTAATAACTCTAACTGAAAGTATTTTACGGATCTCTTTCAAAAACAAGTCGAAAAACATAACAACATAGGTTAATAATAGTAGCGTGAATTGATGTTTATCTTAATTGGATGTAATACAAATGAACAGCTAAATGTTTATATGTATAAAAACAAAAAAGACAAAGAATTCCAAAACTTCCGAAAAATATTTGTGGCTTATGAATATTTTAAAACACACACATATGCATATAACATAATTACCGACCCAAAGAAATTTCAATGTGAACTAATGACCAGTTATTCGCTCTTTGGATTGAGAAACAAGTTGAACGACACATACACCCAAACAATGTTTCATAAATCTTCGATGTTTTGTAGGTGGTGGTTAAAAATCTCAAGAGGTAATTAGCCAAACTTACAGAAACTAAAAGAGAACAAGTTAAGAGAATATTTTCTTTTATGAAACACTAAAATATTATTTTCCATACAACTTTATTAGTATAAATAATATCGTCACTTCGATTGATATATACAGAAATTGTTTTGCTTTCAAACAGCAATCATCCAAAGAAAATAAATTTCAAAAAATGCGTACCTTCATTGTAAGTTAAATGTTTAAGGATAGCGGAGATTAAATTAAAGACTAATACTTGACATTCCTATTTGCTTCCAGGTTTTATGCTTAGTGGCTGTAGCCTGTGCCGACAAATTGGGTTATAACTACCAACCCGTTGGACACTCCGAAAGTGGGTTATCTTTCATCCCAGGTTCTTCCAACAGTGGATCATTCATCGCTACCGGAGCGATTGGCGGTGGTAGTGCTAGCGTTGTTGCTCCCGCCATTGCTCCCGTTGCTGAATTGGAAAAGGAATTCTACACATTCTCTGCCCCGGAAGGTGAATTCAATGATCCCCATGCCGCTGAACGTGTTGCTGGTAGCTTGAAGAAGGGACTCCGTGTTGTCTTCATCAAGGGACCCGAAAACAATGGTTTGGAAGATGCTGCCTTGGCTTTGGCCAAACAAGCTGCCCAACAAGAAACTGCTATCTATGTGCTCAACAAACAATCCGATCTCGGTGAATTGGCCAACAAACTTAACCAATTGGGTGCCAACAACAACCAGAAACCCGAAGTTCACTTCGTCAAGTACCGTACCCCTGAAGATGCTGCCAATGCCCAACGTGCCATCCAAAGCCAATACGATTCTTTGGGCGGTTCATCTCACAGTGTTAATGGCGGTGTTGCTCCAGTTTTGAACTTTGCTTCTCAGCCAGCTGTTCGTACTGCCACAGCTCAAACTCCCCAGAATGCTTATTTGCCATCATCGGTATTCCGTCATTAAATTTGGAAAAGGAAATAATAGCATATAGAGACTGATGAATTGTTGTTGAAATTGATTGTTAAATTTTTAGATATAAAAATAAATTAAATATATAAATTAAAAAAAACATATATTTTTAATAATTATGCTAGTTATACGTTTTAGAGTAACGTGTTAAAATTTGGTACTGATCGCACTATTAGTTTTTGTGTTATTACTGATCGTAAAAACACTGTTTAGAAAAAATGTCATCCTCCATAAATTGACTATATCTTCAAAATTTAATATAATTTTTACTTGGAACTTTTAAGGGGTTTTCTGGAACTAAATAATACCAGTATAAAATCGGAGGGGTATAGTCGGATGTTGTATACCCTTTAGTATAGTTTTATACCCTATACAACTACCAGGGAATTAATACTTTCTGCGGATCTATAATCCTAGCATGGGCATTATTTCGCGATATTTGAACTATTAGAGGTCAACAGCTCATCTTTTTCGAAACTTGTTTTCAGGGGGTAAACATTTGACCCGCTGAATATTGACTTTTCATTAGCAGAACAACCCTTCTAATTAGTTGGCCAGATTCCATTCCACCTTTGTTGTAATTCTGATTCTGAAAAACATACAATTATTAAGTTAATATATCATCCGATCTTCACCGAAAATTGTAAATGTTGTCCAGGACCCTAACCGGAACATCATGCAAAATTTTAATAATAAGTAATATCAGAATAGGTAAACCTCTGTAAATATTTACGTATGGAAATAATATCAACCTTTCCGGCCTATGTCCTTCAAGAATAAATATATACACCATAGAATACAAATTCGGTCATTTTCTCACAAACGTCTGGGTTCATTTGTCCCGCTAACTGTTAATCAAAGAAGTCATGCTTATTCTTTCTCTGTTTAAAATTACGTAATGTTCGGGTCATCACTGTGTCCTTTAGAGCGACCAGAAACAGAGACAAAATAACGTTTTTATCCATTTCATCCCATAAATATTACACGATAATTTACAAAAACAACAGGAGTCTTCTTTTTCCAAAATCGGTGCAAAATTTCGTGACAATTTATGGACTGGGACCTGTATTGGTTTTACAAATTAAAATGGACAGATGGACGGACACACCAGTCCAGATCGACTCTGCTAGTCGAGATATGATTGGCACAAATACTTCGTGACGATACAAACACGTAGGTCACACAATGCAATAATACCCTGACAACATAGTTGTGTAGGGTATAAAAATCGAAATCGAGAATAGAGGAGAATCTTCTGAATACCAGTTCCTATCTGTTTGATCGATTCTGATAAAATAAAATACTGAGTGTTGGTAGGTTCGAGTAGTGGTCGTAGTGGTGGTAGGGAGGATGTCTGCTCGAAGAGAATATCAAATATTATGTTAAAATTTGAAATTGCCCAAAAGCTTCAAAATACCAACTAGTGGGGTTGTTCCGCTTTATGGTCTGCATCATATAATGTGGCTCTATATTCGAACGTTTTCTTTTTTGGAGGAATATTTGCCATTCAGTAACACATAACAACTAATTAAAGCTATTTTGTTAAAAAATTGTTTATAATACCTTAACAAGTGGTCCGATGTAACCCATATTCATACCACACATCCTAGGAGTAATATCAATGTATGTGCAAATTTCAAAGCTTTTTCTTTAATATTGCGAGCTCTATCGTGATTTCAACAGATCAACAGAATATATGATTCTAATCAAGAATATAAAAATTAATATACAATATACACTCATTTGGCAAGTCATCAAAAAATATTCCGCAAAAATATACAACGATTTCTTAATCGTCGATGGTTTTATTCTAAAAAGAGATTTACTATCTGCCAACATTTTGTTGCAAAGTATAAATAATTAGAAAGCATATATAGTTACAAATAAATATATTCGGAGTAGACCACATATGTCAAACCCTACACACCTACAATGGGACTTTAATTTTTGAATGAGATTTTTATTATTTTCCCACAAAAGATTTAATCCACTAGAATAAAGGCCTATTTTTAGCAGAGGTCTCCTTCGACTCGAAAATTCAGATTGTAATACAGGTATTTATAAAGCTTTTGCAACAGTTCTCCTCAACTTTAACTGATTATCACAAACAAATATAGATATCAACTTTGAAGTCTATATTCAATAAAAATGTCGACTATCGGTGTATAACTGAGGCCTGTACTTGGTTCCAATTATACTTAACGGACAGACATCCTTGACTAGGTTGATTCACGTTGTACAGGGTTTACAAAAATATCACAATACTCAGAATTCATGTCGGTGACCGCGGCATGTACTTTCCATCGTCAGTTAATACATAAGACTAAGCAACTGTTTTGATATCTATATCAGAAATGAGTCAGCTGCTATGTTGATATGCTAAAAATAGGGGTTTTCATTGAACATTATTTGTATACGAAGTTGGACAGCCAATGTGGCATATAAAAACAAAAATTTTTTACTGATAGCTAAATTCCATTTTATTTAAAAAAGCGTCACTAATTACTTAATACCAACATAATTTATGGATATTTAAAATAATATTTACTACAACAACTAACACTCCGAATAATAGGAATTCCAAGTATTTGATTGCGTTTGTGTAGTTTGGCTTGCATATACTTTTGTATTGAAAACAAAATGCAAGCCAAACTACAAAAACACGAATACAAGTATACACAGAGCTACATATATTGACTACCAAATAATATCGAAGTTTTTTGTAGGTGTTTGTTGCTAGTGTTTTTTTTTTTATGAGAATCTCAAGTAGTAATTAGCATTGTTTACAAAACAAAACACAAAGAGAATCGAATGAGAGATTTTCTAAAAAACAAGAACTTCTTCGACCGCTTACTGAAATATGATGAAGTATAAAAAAGGTCACCACTTCGATTGATATATACAGAAATTGTTTAGATTTCAAACAGCAATCATCCAAAGAAAACCAATTCAAAAAAATGCGTGCCTTTATTGTAAGTTGAAATTTTAAGGATAGTGGTCACAAAACGGATACTAATAAATGGTGCTTATTTTCCTAGGTATTATGCTTAGTGGCTGTAGCCTGTGCCGACAAATTGGGTTATAACTACCAACCCGTTGGACACTCCGACAGTGGATTATCTTTCACCCCAGGTTCTTCCAACAGTGGATCATTCATTGCTCCCGGAGCTATTGGCGGTGGTAGTGCTAGCGTTGTTGCTCCCGCCTATGCTCCCGTTGCTGAATTGGAAAAGGAATTCTACACATTCTCTGCCCCCGAAGGTGAATTCAATGATCCCCATGACGCTGAACGTGTTGCTGGTAGCTTGAAGAAGGGAATTCGTGTTGTCTTTATTAAGGGACCCGAAAACAATGGTTTGGAAGATGCTGCCTTGGCTTTGGCCAAACAAGCTGCCCAACAACAAACTGCCATCTATGTGCTCAACAAACAAACCGATCTCGGTGAATTGGCTAACAAACTTAACCAATTGGGTGCCAATAACAACCAGAAACCCGAAGTTCACTTCGTCAAGTACCGTACCCCTGAAGATGCTGCTAATGCCCAACGTGCCATCCAAAGCCAATACGATTCTTTGGGCGGTTCATCTCACAGTGTTAATGGTGGTGTTGCTCCAGTGTTGAACTTTGCTTCTCAACCAGCTGTTCGTACTGCTACAGCTCAAACTCCCCAGAATGTTTATTTGCCATCATCGGTTTTCCGTCATTGAATTCGTTTTAAATAGGAATTGTTGTTGAAATTGATTGTTAAAAATGTAGTTATAAGATAAGTATATAAATTAAAAAAAAAAAAATATTATTCTGTATTTGTTACTTCTTCTTCATATATGATTCAAAAGCATTGTTTTCTGTTTGCTTACTTGGGATGACGGGTATAATATTGTGCTCTTATATGTTGGATATATTATTATATAAAAATATTTGTAGAAAATATGATTTTATATAGAGAAGCTCTTTCAGAAGAACAGGGACCTTCCACGGGACTTCTAGATTTTTAAAAATATGAAAGTCTATATATAGGTCTTATATATTCAGAGGCCTTGCAGATGTCTTTTATGCAGGTCGGCAGGTATTCTATATATAGAGGATGATGATGAAATTTCTTGGTGTATACAGAAGCCTGTAATTTAATTAACTTTACCTTTCACAGCACCCATATAAAAGCATTACAGTGAAAATGTCTTTAATTTCAGCCAGCCCGAGCTTTACGACATATTTTATACCCTCCACCATAGTGTAGAGGGTATATTAATTTTGTCATTCCGTTTGTAACTCATCGAAATATTCATTTCCCACCCTATAAAGTATATATATTCTTAATCAGACAAAATTCTAAGACGATCTAGACATGTCCGTCCGTCGGTCCGTCTGTTGTAATCACGCTATCTTCTGAAGGAATTTAGATAGGGTGCTGAAATTTTGCATAGGTTTGTCTTTTTTCTGCAGGCAGGTCAAGTTCGAAAATGGGATATATCGGTCCATGTTTAGGCATGACTCCCATATAACAGTTCCCCCAATATTCGGTATTTCGGTGTTCTTGAGCGGGTTTTTTAACCGAATACGCTGAAATTTGGTACATTGAGTTCTTATTGGGTACTAAATGTCTCCACAAAAATTATAAATATAGGTCCACCTTTTCTGGTAGCCCCCATTTACCCGTACCTCCTAATTTTCAGTATTTTGGGGGTTTAGATAGTATTTTTCCACCGAATGGAGTCTAGGACCAATTTCTCGTTTAATATATACATACAAAATCCAACATGCAGGTCATTTTTAAAAACAATGTCTTCTATAAAAAATAAAAGTTATGTAAAAGATCTCCTAGGATCTTTTATAGACTAAAGATACTCTTCAGATTTAATTTTTAATAGATTCAAGACCTTATACATGTCTTATAAATATTAGAATCGTCTGTAAATTGTCTATATGAAATCGAACTTCTGCAGTTTTGCTATAAAAGTCTTAATAGGTCTTCTGCATACAGAACACCTTCGATA